GTGTGAGCTGTAAGTATATATTATTTTAATTCTCTTATATATATTGTTGAATTCAAAATTTGAATAATTATAGGATGGTTATAGCAATGTTTATTCAAGTTTTTTTCCAACTAAACTATGATCACAATTCAATAATTATAAGAAGGGACTTGAATCCTGACTCAATTGCAACTATCCTGATTATTTGTAAGAAATCAGAAAATATAAATAGACTAACACTTTTTTTGGATAACACCACTCAGTGGTAATTATCATAATTATAGTTTTATTGAATTTTATTGATAATTTTTATATCTTAATTAGATTATGAAAAGAATGAAAGACATACGTGATTTTAATGTGGCAGTAGTTAAGAAAGTAATTTTTCATGTCTTTGGAATGAATAGCTTACCTCTGATTAATAACCAAAAAAATTCCAAGAAAATTTCTGAATGGAAAACATCATTAGAAGTGGCTAAATATTATAATAAGTTATTTTAACTTGGAAATGATGGCACCAGCAATATTAACCATATCACTCATATCACCTTTCTATCCCTTTGTGAAAAACTGCTATCTATTGACTTATGTGTATATATCATGAATATATATAATATTATACTAAATCTAAACTATTTAATAATTAAAATAAGTAGAACTTTATTATAATACTACATAGATAAATATAAAGTAAGCTTTTACTCTATAATATATATAATCTTTTGTAACTAATATTAATTTTCTTTTAGGAAATATATTAAAAAAATACAAATCTAACATGTGAAAACTCAATGAGTATCATTGAAGATGAAAGATATGATGAAAAAAAAATAGATTAGAATTCAAAAATAATGAAGATGATAATAATATAAATAACAACACTATCCAACAAGAAGTATATAATTTTTGTATAGCAAATGACTTATTTATAGAAAGTGAAGATAAAAATATTAATCAATTAGTTAAGAATTATTAGAATTGTATTTAAAGTAATACATTTATTAAATAGATTTTTATTTTAATAATAAATATCAAGTACTTTAAATATAATAAAATGGGACACTACACCAACAGTTATATAGAAAAAAATATGAATACTAGACAGCTAGCTCATCTTGAAACTAATACTATCACTACAATACTAGATAATAATTTATTATTATAACAATTATAATAACTTTTAGATGGACAGTTCATAATACCTCTATCTCCTAATAACACTATCACTAACAATAGTAATACCCCACATTTAAACTAGAGTCCATATCTGAAGAAGGTCAGAGTACAAGCTAATCTCAAAAGTCTTCAATAATATTTTTACAATAACTGCTAACTGAAACCATAGAAGAAAATAAAAATCTAGAAAAAAAAAATGGAAAAGTAATAGATGCAGTCAGTGTTGGAAATTTGTATTCTCCGAGTTCTCATGAGAACACTAAAAAAAATTTGTGCACTGTGTAAAGATTTGAATGGTTCACTATAAAACAGTTCTCATTCACACATTTAGTATTAATAGTGTTCTCGCATATACAGTAATATTATTATTGTATGCACATTTAATACTATGTGCACATTATTTTTTTATGTGTGTTCTCTAATCCGATTTATTTGTTACACATATATATCAAAATTTTAATAATATATAGCTGATTTTTTCCTTTTTTATAGTTTTTTTTTGTTCATTCACTATGTCAAATTCTAAAGGCAAACACGTTCAAAAAAAAAACACAATCACTCCCTTTACACTTGCTGCTCAAGCAGCCAAAATAAAAAAATCATCTATTAATATAGATGAAGCTACTAGTTCAGCTATTACAGAATCCGATAATATAGTTGAAGATTCTGCTAATAAAAACTTTATTAATTCATCCAAAAAACTCAAATATCCACACCTTGCCAAAGACAATCTAAAATGGAATCCTATGTGGAAAAAAACTTATCCATGGGTTGATCTAGTAACACGACAAAATGACAAATATATGATTTGCACATGATGTGTTGAAGCAAAATGTCACAATATTTTCGTCGATGGTACTCAATACTTTAAAGAACAATATTTTCAATGGCATATAGAGCGAAGTGACCATCAACATGTCATACAAGCATGCAGCAAAGCTCAAATTAGTATTACAACCAGCATGTTACATCATTTTGAAACTAATCAATTACAAGTAATGAACAAAATGATGAATATTTACTTTCTTGTAAAGCACAATATTGTAACACTTACCTTCAAAGATTTGTGTCATCTTGTTGACTTGCATCTTCAAAATGCAAAGCAAGATATTCCACCTGGAGGTTCAAGTCTTTTAAGTTTACCACAATCTATATCACAAGAAAATACTGCCAACAAATATGGATCATATCATAATAATCATTCTGGATGATAATTTATTGCAGCAATAGCGCGAATCATTGAAGAAGCTACATTTAATGAATTACGACAATCTAAAGTCTGGAGTATTATGATTGATGAAAGCAATACAATTTCGATAGATAAGAATCTTGCTATCATTTTACGTCATATATCATACAATTTACCAATTTTTCGATATCTTGGAATTATCAAACTTCAAAATGCATCATCAAATGCAATTATTGAAGACTTAGACCAATTTATTCTCGCTAAACAACTACAATTGGAAACACTTTATCATTTTGGAAGTGATGGTGCAAGTGTTAATTTAGGTAAATTTTATTATAAATATATTTTTTTGTTAAAATAAATATATTGATTAATTTATTATCAAATTAAGGTCGAATAAATGGCATTGCAACACAATTGAAAAATCGTCTCCCATTTCTTACTGAACACCATTGTGTTAGTTACCGATTGGCATTGGCTTCTAAAGATGCTGCTGAACAAACTCCATATTTTGAAAAATATGACGAAATTGTGCGACGAATTTACAGCTATTTTAGCAGATCATATTCACATTTGCAAACTTTACGAATGATTCAAAATCAACTTGATGAATCTAATTTGGATGTTTTACAACTGGTTCAAACTCGATGGCTTTCCTTGAGTAATATTGTTAGCAATCTTCACCAAATTATCAATTCGATTATTAGTGCATTATTGGAGGATGCAAATGATGGGCAAAAAACTGCACAGCAACTTTATGACAGCATTGATCAACAATTTTTAGTAGTAACATATTTTCTAGCAGATATTCTTTCACAACTCCGTCAGCTATCTTTAATTTTCCAAGCAGAATATGTTTCAGTTTCAGAGGTTACAATCCAAGTAAATGTGTTTATTGAATCGATCACAACTGACTTTATCGGGGATGAAAATGTACAACCTACCTTTAGAACTATATTGGCACAGTTTATGAATGAAGAAGATATTTTACCTGATCAACTTCTTCAATTTGTATATGAATTTGCGGTTAAAATAGTAAAAAACCTTCAGCTTCGGTTTCCTGATCGAGAAATTGTGACTGCATTTCAAATTTTTGATCCCAAGCAATTATCTACTGATCGTTGCTTATTGGCAACCTATGGAAATCATGAAATTATCAAGATTGGAGAATTTTATGGAAGATCTAAAATAATTGAAAATATTATTACTTTTTTTAAAGCTAAGCATTAGTCTTATAATTATTATATTATTTAATCACTAATTATATATTATTAGAGCGTCAACATCCAAATATTATTGAGGCCAATAATTTTGCCCAAGAATGGTGAGTCATTCGATCTCTTCTTTCAAATTACCACAATTTACATATTACTGTCTGGCATAATATATTGCATGACAACCAAGATTTCATTGCAATGTATCCTAATACCTACATTATAATTTCTATTTTGCTTTGTTTGCCTTTTTCTAATGCTTATGTTGAACGTGTTTTTTCTAGGCAAAATCTTATCAAGAATAAGCTTCGAAATAGAATGCATTCTGAAACTTTGAATGACATTCTTATGATTTCTTTGAATGGTCCCCCTTATTCTGAATTTGATTATAAACAAGCATATTATTTTTGGTGAAGCTCTTCTTTTTGTTAAAAAGCATTAGAATTACGGTTTAGCAAATAGAAGTAATTAGCTGGTTTAATAAATACAGTTTAATATAGGAGTGATTTGAATACTGGAAATTGATAAAAATGTTGTCCAATATGTTTACTATGTTTTTTATTATTCTTGTAAGAACAGTATCCGAATCCTAAGTATTCTCTAATGAGAACACTAATTGGTAATTGAGAATACTGTTAATAATATCACTGTTCTCGCGAGAACACTCTCTAACTGCAAAATTTCCAACACTGGATGTAGTCCACTGTAAAGGAAAAATAGAAGACCAGCCTACCAGAATAATAATTGATAGTGGATCAGTCAGCAATATTATATCAGTTAGGTTCTTAAAACAAATAAGAAGAAAGATTGATAGGCCATCTAATATCAGTCTTATAGGAATAAATAGAAAACCAGAATGACCACTAGGAGAAGTAGAAGAATTAAGAATAAAAATTAGAAATCTTGACTAATAAATAGATACTCTAGTTATGAAAAAAGCAGAGTATGACCTATTGCTTGACAATCAATAGATAAAATAATTCAAAGCTATTTTAAACTGGGATAAAGAACTTTTGAGTTTTGAAGTTGAAGGAGAGTCTATAATCATCCCAGTCAATTGTACTCAATAAAGATCAACTATAAAATTGATCAGTCTCAAGAGAGAACTCAAGGATCCTGCTCTTGAAGATGATGATGATGAATATGAATTTAAAAAAGAGGAGTTAGTTGACTAGTTCCTATATATAGTACATGAAGAACAAAGTGAGCAGCTTGTATTAAAAGTAGAAGTTCAAGAAAATCTTATAAAAATCAATAATGAAGTCATTGAACAAGAAGAAAAAGAAAGAATTCGTTGAGAAAGATTAGAAAATTTTAATTTATGTATTCACAGTGTAAGAGGATATCAATATTCTCAATGCAAAATTAAACAAAAAATATTTAATCAGTTAGAAATATTACCGCTACTCTCACTCAATGTTACTCTAATAATAATAGAAATAAATCTGAATCCAGAGTAATAACAATAATTATATTAAGTTATGAATGACTACAAAGAGTTATTCGATATATCACAATCAGACTGAACTAATATTCTTCAACATAAAATATATTTGGAAGAAGAGTGATCTATTATTCTTTAATCTTATCACCATAAGTCATCAATGAAGAATGTATTTCTAAAAGATGAAATCCAAAAGATGTTAGACAATATAATGATATCACCATCTGATAGTCTCTGAACAGCTTCAGTAGTAATAGTTAGGAAGAAAAATGAGAAATTCTAATTATATGTAGATTATAAAAAATTAAATAAAGTTACCAAGAAAGATTAATATTCTCTACCACAAATTGATGAACTCTTAGATTCTTTCAAAAATGCTAAATACTTTACCATTATAGATCTTGCAAGTAGATTCTGGCAAGTTGAGATGCATCCAAAAGATTGAGAGAAAATAGTATTTATCACCAATGAAGGACTCTTTTATTTTAATGTCATGCTTTTTGAACTCACTAATATCCCAGCCATATTTCAAAGATTAATGAACAAAATTTTTAAAGAATATATTAGAAAATTTATAGTTATTTATCTTGATAATATTACTATATACTCAGAAACTTGGAAAGAAAAACTTTGGCAAGCAAATCTCAAACTTCAGTTAGATAAATATACTTTTGAAAAAAATCAACTATCTTTTCTAGATTATATTATAGGAAAAGATGGAATTCATCCTGATTTAACCAAGATAGAAAAAGTACAAGAATTTCCAGTACCCACTAATATTACATTATTAAGAGGATTTGTAAGACTTGCCTCTTATTATAGGAGATTTATCAAAGACTTCACCAAGATAATAGCCCTCTTACATAAATTATTTAAAAAAAATGAAGAATTCATATAGACAGAAAAGCAGCAGACAGCTTTTGAATCACTCAAGAAATATTTAATCTCACTATCAATTATTACATATCTAGACTTTACAAAATTATTTATTCTTTTACTAATATATCTGAACTAGTATTAGGTGTAATACTAGCACAATATGATAATAAAAAGAAGAAACACGTAATTACCTATACCAGTAGAAGAGTAAGCAAAGAAGAAAGCAAGTATACTATAACAGAATTAGAATATCTAGGAGTTATTTAGGCAGTCAAGCTATTTAGACCTTATTTACTATCAGATATTTCATTCATATTCATTACTGATTACTTAGCACTCAAGTGATTAATTAACAAGCCAAATCCTTCTGGAAGACTTGCATGCTGGATAATAGCTTTATGAGAATATAATTTTAAAGTTGAACATAAATTCAGAAGAATCCATTCAAATATTGATCCACTCTCCAGAATACCATACACATTTACCAAAAAAAAAGACAAAATATGAATTTGGATAACTATACAAAATTATATAACTATCTCAACATATTAATAATACCTGATAAATTCTCAAAAGAAAAATGGAAATAACTGCTAGCAGAATCAAAAAAAATACTTCATATAAAATTATAAACTATATAAAAAAAATAGATAGGATATTGATCATTCATTATTAATCATAAAATCAATAGATATAAAGTCAGTTCTTTACAATAATCATTCAAATATTATCTCTAAATATTTCAAAATTGAAACTACCTATAACCGAATAATGAAAAATTATTATTGATACCAGATATATAGAGATATAGATGCATATATTAAAGCTTATGATATATATTAATGAAAAGGACAACTGCATAAAAATAATAAAATGATATTTATTCAAGTTAATGCATCTTTTAAAAAGATTGAAATTGATTTGATAGGATCTCTTCCAATAATCAGTAATAAAAATTACTATATTGTAGTTACTATTAATTATCTAATCAAATAGGCTAAAGCAAAATCAATTACTAATGCTTTTGTAAGTATAATCATCCTCATTTTCTATGAAAATATAGTAATGAAACATAGATTTTTAAAAGAAATA